CATACTGGCACAGGGTCAACGCTCATGAACGCAGGTGCGGGTACTTTTTTTTTTTTTTTTTTTAAGTTATTTTGATTTTTTAAATTATTTTTACACTGTCCTTTTAATTTTTTTGATCACTTTTAATGCTATCACAGGGAATGCAAATATCCCCTATAACTTCAATGGGCATTGTCATATATTCTTTTTTGAGAAATCTGGGGTCTATCAGACTCTAGGTCTCTCCTCTGCCCTTACATTATCTAATCAAACCAAAATCGGTGTGATCAAATGCTTTCCCAATTTACAAATGGTGCTGTTTATATCCTGCAAAACTGAAGTGATGAAATGCTCGTAGCTTCCAAATTCTTAGGCTATAGAGATGATTGGCACCATTCTGGTCTCCAATCAGCTCTATGGTCAGCTGGCAGAAACACCGGCTGCATTCTCAGGTTCCCCCTATGGCTCGGGACTGCCCGAGAAGGCCGTGGAAGGCAGCGGGGGGGGGGGGGGTATTGTCTCCCGCTGCTTGTAAAACCAATCCTGCAGTTAATTAGCCACTAGGATTGCTTTTACATGAAAGCTGATCGCCAGCTGAAAAAAAATGATACCAGGATGATGCCTGCAGCTGTAGGCATTATCCTGGTATAACCACTCAAAGTCCAGTGATGTACCAGTACATCGCTGGTCCTTGTTGGGTATATATGCTACGTTCTTTTGGGGTTTTTTATGCAGCCTGTGGACTGAAAAAGAGAAGAAATCTCTGCCAAAAAAAAAGTGTGTGGTATGACCACCATTAAAATATACCGCCCTGCATCCACACACTTCAGGTCACACTTTGCCACAAGCGCCAGTTCCAAGATTCTACAAATGTCTAAATAGTGGCACGCTTGAATAAAAATTGTCCACGTATAAGTGGTACCCCATATGAAAAAAGGATGACACCAAGTCCCAAACAATCTTGCCACTGCCCCCCATGTAGTCTGGGCATCCGGGGGGCTCCACGTGACTATCTTTTCCGTTGTAAAACCGAAACTTATAAGTATAGCCTGTTGTCTTCTCACAGGTCTTCTACATCTTGACCCCATATCTGGCACGCTTGCTGGGGAGAAATCGTTTGAATGCAAGGCGGCCAGAAAAATTAATTAGGGACTCATCAATGCAGATTTTTTGCTGGGGAGTATAGACATCTGCAAATGTTTGGTTAAGGTGATTTGCGAGGGGCTGAATTTTGTGTAGCCGGTCAGATTCAGGGTTACCCAGAGGATGACAGAGTGCATTGTCGTTGAAATGCATAAAACACATTATACTCTCATATCTATGTCTGGCCATGGCAGCAGAGAACACGGTATATGATGAATCGGGTCTGTGGATCAATACAACTGGTATATATTTTTTTTTAGTAATGCCCATGTTGAGGGTTAGGCCCCCCAAAAAAGTAAATTCGGAAACCGTAATGGGTTTCCATGCGAATGGTCTGGCAACGTTTGAATTTTGGTTGGCGGCGATAAATTGTTGTGCATATAAATTGCTTTGATCCACAATCAACGCATACAGATATTCTGTGAAAAATAGCTCCAAAAATCAAGGGGAGTAGTTAAATTTTCTATTTCCAACTGAATTCCGGGTTGGGCAGGGAAAGGGGGAAGTACAAGTGCTGAAAAATTTGTGGATTGCCAATCGGGATTTGCAAGCACATCTGGAAGGATATTAGGGGCTCTACGGGCCTGTGTGCGAATTCTTAGTGGCTGCGGGACAATACTTGTGCTCGCCACCGCACCAGCTTGTACTGCACTTATAGGACTCGCCACGTCACCAAGTCATACTGCAGTGCTGGTATTATTATTATACAGGATTTATATAGCGCCAACAGTTTGCTCAGCTCTACAATATAATGGGAGACAATACAACAATACAGTTCAATACAAGAATACAAGAGGGTTAGGAGGGCCTGATCCAGGGAGCTTACAATCTAAGAAGCTGCATTTGAGAGTCATCAAAATTTAACGGCAAGAGCTAACAGAGATCAGGCCTGATTCTGCGAACACTGCTGTTTTGTGTGTAATATATCAAGTGACAGTGACCTACTGACACTGCACTTGCTGGGGGGAGAAGGGGGGGGTGAGCGTAGGGGCTAAACGCAGGTGCTGGCAGGTGTTGGGGCTGATCCCATTAACGCTGCATTTTTGAGGACGCTATACTAATGTGAACGCTGGTATAGTGCTGATCTGATCAAAGATATTGATCCGTTCAGACACTATACTAACAATGGAGATTTATTGTGTATGAGTGTGTTGCTGGCAATCAAGGGGTTAAATGTGATGACTGGTGTACTGATGGGCAATCTGACCCAAACCACAGGAGCACAAATTACGTATATATATATATATATATATATATATATATATATATGATTTTGTGCACCTGTGCCGCCCTGTAGCAGTATTTCTGCAATAGGGCGGTCAGGAAGCGGTTACAGAAGTGGTTTGTGTTATGTCGCTGCATTACTTTAACTGACAATTGCGCGGTCACGCAACACTGCACCCAAATTAAATGTACGTCCTTTTTTTTCCCACAAATTGAGCTTTCTTTCGGTGGTGTTTGATCGCCTGTGCATTTCTTATTTTTTTGCGCTATAAGAAAAAAAGGCTGACAATTTTGAGAAAAAAAAAAACAATATTTTGGACTTTTTGCTATAAAACATGTCCAGTAAAAAATGTAAAAAATCTAATTTTGTCATAAATTTCAGCCAAAATGTATTCTGCGACATGACTTTGCTAAAAAAAATCCCAATACGTGTAAATTAATTGGTTTACATTAAAGTTATAGCATTTACAAATGGCGGGAAAGATACTGGGATTTTTTTTTTTTGTTATAATAATAATAATGGCAGCAATCAGCGACTTATAGCGGTGATCAGCGATTTATGACAGTGATTAGCGACTTATGGCGGGACTGCGATGGACATTTTGACACTGGGGGGGGGGGGGGGGGGGGGGGCTGAGATCCCCAGTGACACCAATACAGTGATCAGTGAAAAAAAAAAAAAACCACTGACACTGTACTAATGGCACTGGGGAGGAAGGGTTAACTGTGTGTGAGGGGAGTGTTTTACTAGTGGGCGGGGGGGTGTGCTTCACGGGAACACACTGTCCTGGGAAGCTAATCTCTGCTCTCCGTGACAGTGTGTTAGGAGCTGACAGGGAGCAGAGGTGCAGTGTAAACACTGCAGCCGTGCTCTCTGTCAGTGAGTGCCGCTAATCGCTGGGAAACGGCGGGTAATGACCCGCCGGGATCCGGTGATGGACACCCGCTGCCACGATCGGCGGCGCAGGTATGGCGCGCGCCCCCTACCTGTTTTGCTAGACGCCATTTTTTTTTTACGCGCTCTAGCACAGCAGTGCCGCCCTGCCGCAGTATATACACCTTATCTCTAACCCTATACTATATATTTTTTCCCATTACCTTGGGAAGATAAATATACCCACCTAAGTCTCTCTCCATGTCCCTGTCGCCACCGGTCCTGGGTACAAGGGACCTCAAATCCAGCAGTGGGCATAAGTTTCTTCAGACATAATATATCCCGAGAGGATTTCTAGTATATACATATTTATGCCCAGTACTTCAAAGAGGACTTATATAACCCACACCTACTCTCTGGATAAGTTTGAGTGTGAACACATTATGGGCACATTGGACTTTAGTTTCTAGTTAGTCACCATGAGCATTACACTCTGAACCACTATCTGGAACTATTAGGATATTCTGTGGGTGTGACCATAGCGGACACTGCCTGGCATAGACCCTATGTTTGCCCTTCTTATCTACCTGGCTGGCGGACTGTTAGTGTCATTTTGCTGATCACGCAGTCCTCACCTTACTCTCATTCATTCAACACAGTGTTAGTGGTGAGGGTTAGTGTGTATGGTATTAATGTGTGTGTGCTGGCTGTGCAGCTGCAGTGGTGACTAGACAATGTTGTCTTTTTATTTATTCATGTGTGATGGTATTGGTTTTGTGCCTTTTTTTTATTTTTGTGATACTACAATCTTTAATAAAGCCTTATACTATACAAGCCACATGGCCAATTTGGTAACTTCCTTTCAGGCTTCTATCAGCCTAACTCAGAAACATGCCTAAAAATTGTAATGGTGACCAGGAAGGCAACCTTACATATGAGGTCTTCAAAAGCAAAGTTGCTAATCGGTTCAAAAGAGGGTCTCTAAATTGCAGAAGCAAAGGATGCAAGCCCAAGGAGACACAGGAGTTGAAATTGAAGGATTTGTATGAGCAATTCCCTTAACAGAAACATTGATTAGGGATTGCAAGGCAAGAGGTTTCTGTCAAAAAATGGATAAGGCAGAAACCTGTTCTTTGAGGGTAGTCAGGGCTAGTCGCAAGTGATAGAGTATTTCCTGGGGTTCAACTGTCTGTTTCCACACCTTGTGTCTTGTTCCCACTCTTGTGGGAGTTGGATTTTCTTGTTTGGAGTAAGGTGGGAAATACCTCTGTCCTATAGAACCTTCTGGGTCATTTTGCTACAACGAGAATCACTGGGACATTTTCCCCTTCCTATTGGTTACAACAAGCAGGGCACAGGGTACCAACGCATTTCGGGGGGGGCCACACAATAACCCTTCAGCAGGGCTGTGTGAAATGGCAGTATGCTAAATGGACTCAAAAGTACTCTTAAGCAGACTGATCTGCAGGCAAAGGATGTTACAAACAGTCAGCGCTGGTGTTTACAGTAGAAGTAGCAAAGTAGTTTCCTGGCACACATCTAAACCTTTTTTTTTTTTTTTTTTAAATACTGGAACCACAATTGCGCTACACCAGTCTGTTGGTACTATTACTGTTAGTAAGGAGTTTCAAAAATAAGGAAAAGTGGCTTGGCTATCACTGAAGTAAGCTCTCTGAGGACTTTTGTCTGACGTTCAGCATTCATTTCACCTTCAAAAAGCTTTTTGGAAATAATTGCTGTAACTTATTATAATGCAATTTCAATAAACATACTTGTACATTTACCTTTGATGGGGATGACTCAGTTGGGGCAGATTCTGGTCGTCTACGAGGAGGTACAGGTGGAGGAACCTGAATTTCATCACAGTTCTTAGGGAAGTTGATTGAAGATACTGAGGCAGAGCCTGGACAGGAATACAAATGGTAACCTATACACTCTTAAAGCTCCAGTTTTAAAGCTCAAACTCAAGCTAAACACAAACTGAACTTTCTTCAGGCTACCCAACCCATGGATATGTCCAAATTGGCTCATGCCATATGCTTTTAATAAGAATTATGGTCATCCCTTAATTTTACACCAGCATACTTCATAGATTTGTATAATGGAGAATACAGAAACACATACAAGGTTTACAATATACTGTAGAATATGAAAGGATTGTTTATGGGCCTTGCTCACTAAAGATAATATGCCATCAGGTTACAAACAAGTATTCCAGTGCTGCTTATTACATTCTCCAATATATAATACAAATTATTAATTCAAGATGGAGACTGAGATCTACTTAAAATGGCTGAGACAGACGTGTAAAGCTGGGAAAACTGAAGAGCAATGATCCCAAACAAAAACATTAGGTGCATGCATAGTGTATGCAAAGCCGAAACCTTTTTAGATTTAGAAAACGTGGTGAGGGTCTAGGACCCCTTTCAAGTTTTTATTGGCATCTATGGGGGCATGCTTGGAAAAATTACCATATATATTTGATTTGCTCATCATCAAAAACATTGGTATGGACTGATCTTTTCATTTTTAATTTATAAAACTGAATATAATCAAAATATACTTTTTAAAAACAATACATGATTTAAAAAAAAAATAAAACCTTTAGGCTGCAATTACCCTTTAAATGATACAAGATGCCATGTATTGTAATGGGAGTTGAACCATTAGATGGTAAAGCACCTCCTTAAGTACTTGCATGTCTCACTGTATTGTCTGTAAAGGGTTTGTGTAAAGATTGTATTTATGTATATGAAGTGTGCACTTAACAATGCCATTTAACAATAACTAAAGTGTATCTATGGTCAAAATTTTAAATCATATAATAAATTCCACATTGTATTTCAATTATTTCTAACATACTCCTATTCATCTGAAGAATATCAAATTTGAAAACGTTCTTCCCGGTATGCTTTCTTCCTTGAATTCTTGCTATGCTCCATAAATACTAATGAATTGCTATGCCCCATGAACAGGCACTACTGGGTCACAGAATTTACAGACCCTGCCTTCTGCCTGCCTAACTACAGGTGTGCTGAACGGAGGTGTTTCAGGAGGCACAATTAGAAAATTGATATTTAAAAGGCAGAGGAGTAACAGCAAAGCATGCAGGGAATCCATGAAGTTGTGCAAAGAGATGACCAGTAGACAAGCAGAACTCACAATATGAAATTAAATTTTGCAAGTAAGCTTACATGGGATTGTCAAAAGAACTTGTTTGTAAGGTTACAAAGCTAAAGTGTATGCTGTGCTCATAGATTTCTTTTAACATACACTGGCCATATTATTCCCAGTATGTGTGAGAAAAAAAATTCTGAATAAAAGTGTAGAGCTTGATCACATCGAACACTCTTGATTGTTCTTCCCCAGTCACAGAAATGAAACTTGATTGGTCACTCTAGGCATGTTCTGCACTTATAAAGCTAACCATACACTAAACAATATTTTACACTCTTCTTTAGTATCAAAATTAAGTAATACAAGAGCAAACCTAAACAACTTATTCAATTAATATCCAATCAAATCAGGCAGGCCCCTGTACTACATGGTTGATGGTAGATGTAAAGAAGATTGTACAATCATCCAAAGAGGACTAGGGATAGATTCTTCCTGGTGCTGCCCCAGCAAAAATATACATCCTTTCCAGGATATGGCTTTAAATATTCCCCAGATGCCTCCATTACCCGAATCTTAATTTGTAACTGACAAAAAAATCTGAAAAAGTATGGTCAGAATAAGAAAGCAAAAATAAACTGTGGAAAAATATAGTGCTCTGCTTTAATAATTAATCATTCTCCATACCTTTTCAAATCAAATGAAAGATAATAAAAGCACTATATGCAGTCCATGGTTCGTAAACCAGTACTGACGGAGAGAAGATGGTAATATGAACTGCTGTGAACAGGGCTTAACAAGCCAAGTAATCGGTTTTGTAAGTTTGCAGTTGCTGTATTTTAAATAACCAAGTCTGTTCTTTCATATTTGATCATGCCTGAAGGGAATACAAATTGATTTTTGTTTACTTCCTATGGCATATTGCAGGCTCAGAGTGTTAACAAAACAGGCTTGGCGAATATTAAATAAAATTCACACCAGAGGTGCAGCATTACACAGCATGGCTATTGGATATTTTAAAAAGCCTTGGATGTGAGAATATCCACCTCATATTGAATTCATATGCAATGTAATTTAAGTGAGGCATATAGTCTTCTTAACTAAACATTATTTAAAGTGTTTCAATCTAAACCATTTTGAACCAACTGGTCAAATCTATGTACCTGCCTCTCACAAGGGAGGAAGGGAGGAGGCACTAATGCAGTCCATACATCAGTCAAATTCCAACGATTTGTCAAGCAAAAATGTTGTGCATTTTGTAATCTGATTATGCCACTGTTGATTTAAAAATTGGTCCAACCAACTCTTCAATTTCACGTCATGTTACAGAAAAAAAATTTAGTGGCCAGGAATCTTCTTTTCTTTCCAGGTCATAGCTTATGCGCATTTCTTTTACGATTATATTTCATGCACGATTCTATTGTCATTGGTTAGAAATTCATGAATTTTTCAAAACAATTCCAACATGCCTGATCACTCAAATTCGATGGCCTCATGGATCGGATGTTGCTGCGGCCCCACTAATAGTCGAATTTCGAATGGTAATCCAAAATTGCAAATTTCAAAAGAAAAAGTGTTGGGAATTTGACCTATGTAAGGCCGGCCTTACAGGCAGTCTGACTGATAGGGTGGACTGTGCCAGTAAAGACAATGCAAATAAGATGGATTCTGAGATATGAATAGATATTTAGGGAAAGGGGGTGCCAAAGCTGCTACTTTGGCTAAAGTCCCCTTCCACTTTATTTAATCTCTGTGTTAATAAACAAGAAATCAGATGTAAGATTAACAGCTTCCCAACTGTAATCTGTAGATTAAAGTCTTTCAGCATCATGTCCCATGCTAAGAGAAAGTTTATTTATATTCCCTTTTTAACAGCTAGGAGCATGCACAGAAACAAGCTGCTAGCTGTCAGACCACCATGTTATTCCCAAATACAGTGAGGGTCCAATCACACCAGAACATGGTATGGAAAAGGAACATTTCCCACAATGCATGGGAATGCTCCAGCCTTGCTAGGTGGACGTATGTGCCATTAATTGGTAATGGCACCCCACACACATCTAGTGAATGCAGCACCTTTGTGGCCATCAAATGTTGCCTCTAGACTGGTTCATTCATTTGAAGGGTGCCCTTTGTGGGCAGGAGGTGGTGGTGAGAGGCTAGTACATTATACAGCTAGAATTGTTTTGGAATTTTTAAACAAGAGCGTCCTGACACCACAGACTCCCAAACCACTCCCACAGCTGTAGGCAATTTTAGAAGTGAGCAATCACTAACAAAAAAATGTAAACTAAATAAATGAGGATGTGATAACACCTACGTGAATGAAATGGACTTGACGGGTCAGAATCAAACACACTGCAGACATCTGTGGTGCTGGATGCTGCAGATGGTGGAGGTGGCGTTAAGGGTGTTCTAGGCGAGTTTGGGGCAGATGCTGCGGTTTCTGTTTCGCTTTCTGGGATGCGACTGTAGCTGATTTTCCTTGGTTCCTGCTGCAAAGGAGTAGGGTGCCTCATTGTACCTGGCCTTGTGTTTGATGGACGCACACCAGGAGACTTAAGTGGATAACTGTACTTTTTTTGCTGAGGAAAAAAAAAAGATGTCATAATATATTGTGAAAAAAATATTTTTGCACAAACTTCAGTAGTAATTGCTGTTTACAATGTGAAAACACAACAAGGCAGGGTAAGAATAAAAATCAGCCACATCATATGAAGCTAGTCAGTCAATTTGGTCTAAATGACTAAACGCTGCTGTGCCATGTGGAGCAAAATGACTAGCCATACAATTATAGACCCTAAGCATTAGATTGTAATTGCATTACAACAGAGCTCAATGAGCAGTAATAAAGAGTAGCGCGCTAACATCAATCCACCAGAAGTGGCTTGTCATTCTCTGTACAGAAGTGCAAGGCTATTATTTGAGGTTTGACACATTAAAGGCCAATTTGACAATATTTCCAGTTAGCTGTTATTTTTGATGGAGTGGGGAACAGTTTTTTCTGTGTTCCATCGAGGTTCTCTTCACTTTCTTTCCCAGAGATCCAGCAGGAAGTAAAACCAGATAACTACTAAGTGAGATAATACTGTTAGTCATCCCCTGACCAAGTTTCCCTATGGGAAGATTTCCCAATACCTCTTGTTCCTGTAGTGGGGATCACAGACAGCAATAAAGCCTAGCAGATGATCTAAGCCTTCTACAACCTAAAAATCTAAAAAAAAAAAAAAAAAAAAAGTTTGGGGTTTACAAACGGTACATCTTTGTTGTTTGTTATAATCTTTGTTTTTATAATTAGTGTTGTCACATAGGATCCCCCTCCCTTTCAGAACTTTTTTTTTTCTTTTCTTGGGGAATGGGTACATAATTATGTCAGGTACATGCTCCGACTTCCAATGGAATCGCCTAGGTGATTCCACCAGAAGCTCTCCCCCCTTTGTAACCTCCTGGGACATGTCCCAGGAGGCCGAAGGACCATTAACACAGTGCAGCACAGCTCATGTATGGGCAGTGGGGAGCTGGCTGTAAAGCCACAGGGAGTCACAGTAGACAAGCTAGCGCTGGGGACAAAAAGACCAGAGAATAACTGGCCTTGGTGGGGACAGCAATGGATTCCTGGAAAAGGAAGTGTCTCTTTATTACTTGTAGTTGCAGACTTTTAATATTTTTTGAAAACGAACCGCTTAAAGCTTTTGAGTGCTATGAAAAACTGTTTTTGTGTCAGCAAAGCCCTTAATGTCAACTTGATATAAATAGAAAAGAAGCCTATAGCTACTTGCTGTCTGAAAAGATGGAAAAAAACATTATTGGTCCTAAATGTAATAAGTAAAGAAAATGTACGGTCATATTAAAAAGTAAGCACACTTCATAGAAATTGTGACTTTTTCAAAACGTTTACACAGACAAACCTTAGATGTTCATTCAAACATTGCCCATGTAAAAAAAGTGGTATATTGGAACAAATGGCACAAAAAGTGACAAATGTTTGGCATTAGATATGAACTAAAAGCTGCTTACAAATCTTGGCAAAGTCTTTGCATTTCGTGGCTCAATTTCCAGCGACTTCTTGAACAAGTAGTCTTCAAATTCCTTCTCTGCAACATTCCCCATTGGATTTAGGTTCTCAAAAAACCTCTGAAATTAATTAAAAGGTTGCATTAGTCCAGCACACAATATTTGACAAAGTAAAAAAATGAAGGAGTAAGACCCCCTTTTTCCAAGATCTCAAATAATCTTTATTAAGGCAAATTAACCTTCTGGCAATATGTTTATCTTATATATAGAAGGAATAAGCGAGCACTACAAACACAAAGCTGCTGAAACACCAAAGGTAACCATAAAACCTCCTGAGAATAAATAACCTTACAATAGGGTGCAGTGCTAGTAATAAACAAATGTATATAAAAAATGCTCAAACAGATAAAAAATTACCATTCAGCTCCTAATCTTATAATAGTGCTGATAGTGCAACAAATCTCCAATAGTGACTCAGTGTTTACACACATGCAAATAAATAAATAAATATAAAGTGCATAACATAGACGTTTTAGTGGTTCAAGTGATAAGTGAAAGTCCAACAGATTGAACGTGGGGATCAGGAAGGATCTCAAATAGGTATTCCTCTTTTGTATTAATCCAAAGTGGTAGATGGTGTGACCGATAATAGGTAAATTGCACACTCACCAGATGCGCGATTTAAACACGCATTTGAGATATTACTGTCTCATCACGTCAGCCAGATCATCCACTATAGTGATAGCCAGATTCCTGTCCCCTTCAGGGTCCTCCAGTAAGTAACAGCAAAACGTCAGGTTTCCTCTATGATAGGCTCTGTGAATGTTTAGACTCACAGGGAACCCAAAAAAGGATGCCACATAGTGTAATACTGTATAACCAGAGGAGCTACAGCGCTGTAACTTCACGCCGCCGCTGGCGGCCATCTTGGACACACATGGTCAGTCCTTTTTGTTTATCCTGTTCTTGTATCCTGTTTTTGGGAATAAACATTCTCTGTTTATACAGTATTACACTATGTGGCATCCTTTTTTGGGCTCCCTGTGAGTCTAAACATTCACAGAGCCTATCAGAGGAAACCTGATGTTTTGCTGATACTTATAGGAGGACCCTGAAGGGAACAATAATCTGACTATCAGAATCTAATGAGACAGTAATATCTCAAATGCGTGTTTAAATTGTGCATCTGGTGAGTGCGCAATTTACCTATTATCGGTCACACCATCTACCACTTTGGATTAATACACAAGAGGAATACCTATTTGAGATCCTTCCTGATCCCCACGTTCAATCTGTTGGACTTTCACTTATCACTTGAACCACTAAAACATGGTCTATGTTATGCACTTTATATTTATTTATTTGCATATGTGTAAACACGGAGTCACTTTTGGGGATTTGTTGCACTATCAGCACTATTATAAGATTAGGAGCGGAATGATAATTTTTTATCTGTTTGAGCATTTTTTATATATATTTGTTTATTACTAGCGCTGCACCCTATTTTAAGAATATGTTTATCTTGCCTATAAGAAATTAACAAGGAACTCCTCATAGTGTAGTAAGGTTTTATTACCATAAAAATGTATAAAAAATGCCACTCACATAGATACAGGGTTCACATACAAGGTTCCATTTCGACGGAAACTTGCGATGTCTTTTTTTGGTGCGTGCAAGAGCCGCCATCTGTTCACCCTGCTTTTCCCTTAAATGCTTGTAATATGTTCTGCAAACATTGTATCTATATGAGTGGCATTTTTTGTACATTTTTATGGTAAAAAAAATTTACTACACTATGAGGCGTTCCTTATCTTTTGAGCACCTATCCATCGGAGTGGGGACGTAAAGGATTGTTCCTGAGTATAACAGTCTCATTCTTCCAACATTAACCGCATGCCGCCCAGCCACTGTAGATATACGGCGGCAGGGCGGCACTCGCAGGCAAAACCACGTTTGGACTTTATTAAGTACTATCTATCATTCACCATTTATCTGTTTTTTTTATATATTCAGTAGAGCTGCTTATCTCTCTTTTTTTAATGCACATTTTGGAACTATATAGCCCAGTTGAACATTTATTTGATTCATCACCTATTTATTCCATTGGGAGGCTGATTGCTCATTCGTTATACAACTGTTTTTTGTTGGTTTTCACACTTTATGCTTCAGCTCAGCCAGGTGTTTACCGCTATTGTGATCATGTTTTATTTCTGATATGCATTTCACAAATTTTTTAAGGTTGTTGTTTTTTACACTTTATTCTTCAGCTCAGCCAGGTGTTTATTATAGGTTGGCCAGATAATTGCTACTTGAGTATGGTTTATTTTTGATATATGTTTCACATATCATTTGGATTTAGTGGCTCAGCCAGTTTATTTATTTATTATAGACTTTGTTTCACAGATTTATTCAATTACATATTGGGTTTAATGCTGAAGAGGGTGTTTATTATTAGTTTATTTTTTGGGTCACTATGGCGCAGCACTATTCTTGGGGAATTTTATTGATGTGAGAACACATTTAGGTGCTTGCTGCAGCGTATCATTTATTTTTGGCAGCGTATGAGTATTATATCCTTATACTCCAAGAACAAAGGTTCCCAGAATGAAGGAATGGTTAGCCAAAGGCTGTTGGAAAAGATAAGCCAAGGCCAAAACCTGTTGTTTGATGGTGCTTACTGCTAATCACGGACATGAAGGTATTAGACATGAGGGAGCAGCAGGGGAAGACATTCTCAAAGTGAATTGGGGATCTTTATATGTCCTGCCCACTTTCTGTGCTGTTGCACAACCAGAAAGATGTCCATGAGAAGAAGGCTAAGTTTGAAAAGTTCCTTTAAGCAACGTTGGAGGTGATGTTTCCTAGGGAAGGAGAGGGAGCCTTTGCAGTGGCACTGGAGCAGTGATCACACATAAAGGCTGCATTTTCACCACATTAAAAAAACACCAAAAGGCACAAAGTTTAAAGAAGGGTCAGTCAATAGCAATAAAGAGGAATTGAGGAGGACCCTTATCCCCCCCCCCCCCCCGGGACACAGCAGAACCCCCTTCTCTTTCAGAAGTAACCTAGTTACCCACAAGGAAAGTAAATGCAGAGACTTTGGTAGATCTAAGGATTTGGAGGCTGGCATGATATTATGCTTACAAATTGATTCTGGCAGAGAGTCTGGTGTGACTACTTGAAAAGAGGCTCATAGAAGAAATGAAAATGATCAATTTTCTTCAAATTAACAGTTTGTTGGGGAAAGAAGTCCTACCTTTTTCAGATAATTAAGCTAAACTGACTGATGTTGCAGGGTATATTTCACAGGGAAGAGCTACACCTTCTTTTTGGTGTCCACTTTTTAGAGTCAAGGTGTAAAAAGAGAACATAGATACAGAAAAGTATAAGGTACAGGAGTGCCATGCAGGGCAATATATAAATTATAAATGCTGGTAAGGTTTTAGAAACAGCATTGCAAATAGAAAAAGTTATATTTAACAATACATGTGATAGAAAATCAATCAAGATGCATAGTGTGCTCCCAGCCAAGTGTTCCATGAGATCTACTGATAATCGAAGGCTAACCAGGAATCGCATTTCACAGCCAACATACATTCAATATATATAATGCGTTTTAAATATCTCTGATGGATTAGGAGCTAAATTACTTTTCCAGTGCCTTGTAATAGCTGTGCTGTTAGACGAATATGTATCACTACAGAATGTAAGAGCACTGGAAGAGTGTCAAACTCTAAGTTTAAGATGGTCAGAGCTGGGTTACGAGATGTAAGAATTCATGCAGAATCTGAAATAATTTGAAAAATGTTCCGCCAGAAGCTGGTAAGATGTTCGCAAAATCATAGAATATGCAACAAGTTTCCCATACAGCCACAACCTCTCCCACATAGTGTATAAGAGGGTAAGGATTTAGCTAATCTACTGTAAAAGAAGTCAGGGACCATTGCAGGGATTTATTTTTTGGGTCAATTTCTACTGGTTAACACAACTGAAAGCTTTGCATATGGATGTAAAGGCTCTTACCCACTGAGTAGTGGCGTAAGAAGCACCAAGATCAGTTTCCCATTTAAGAAAGGTTTTGTTTTTAGAAAAAATCATTTGTTTTGAAAAATAATGTAAAATAGAGAAATCTCTTTTGATACAGGTGCAACATAATATTCCCACTCCTACTCCCTTTTTATATTTTATGAGTCAAAGCAATTTATCTACACTTTAAGTTCTGTGTTTCATTATTCCAGCCTCCCACAACAAGAAATCTACTTACACGGATGTCAGCCTCTACTTGTAAACAGTAAGGTTGGTTCTGGTACTGCTGGATCTCACCAGTGATCTCAGCTACTTTCCTCCTTTTGCTGAAGTTCACCAGTTCCTTCCCATGTCTTTTCAGAAAATCAGGATTGCCTTCTTCTGTTTTTAAAATGTTGGTCAAATAAATTCCTAGAAAGTATAGAAAAAATTTTGGTTATAACACAATTATCCACAAAGATTTGTGAGAGGCACTTTAAAGAGGAGCTATTGCCTCTTAGCCCCATTCACACTATGTTGCACATGGCATGTATGTGATTTTTCGCATAGTCAAGATTCTCGCAGACGCCAGCACATTCATTTTTTTGGTACACTTGGGGACTCACTGACTATGAATGGCATTGAAAGCTTAACATTTTTGTGTGTTTTGTTAATGTGCAAAAATAATGTGAATGCAGTTTAATATATCTTTTTTATTAATTTTCTTGGAAAATACAATTTTTCAGAACACTTTCAGAGTTAATTTGCATTACATTAAGCAATAAAATCATTACATTTCCTTTGGACAGTATGTCAGTTGTTGAGTGACTGAGTAAGAAAGTTGGGGCCAGAAATGGAATTGGATCTCCAAAATCCCCTCTTCAATGGCAGTAAAAAAAACAAACTTTCTTTTGCAGTTACTTCAGTCACAGTTCATGACAGCACAAGTCATTCTCTACAGGGGGCGGATATACTAAACATGATAAATCAAAATACAGAACCCCATCTGCGTAAAAAGTATTAGTCATAAACAGGAGCCAAGTGTATTTTTAAACATTCTCTTAGATCCAGTGGGTTTTCCTAAAGAATGTAAATTAGTTTATTCATAGATCTTAAGTGACAAGTTTAAAACCAGAATTCTGTTGTACTCTGTATTTTCTCCAGTAGTATATTGAAGGGCAAAGGATTCTATTCTTTGTTTGGGCATAGATCCCATCTCTAGGAGGTTTCGGCTTTATGAAAATAAAGTTGGTAACCAGAGAGAAGGGCAAAGAATTAGGTTATGAATAACAGGTATATGATGGTAAACAACCTGAATATCTATGGATGCAAGGATGTCTGCTTGTTGTAGAGATGCCACCAATAAATGCATTTGTCTCCAAGTGAAACTTTCTGGTGTGAACAGGAGGTCCAGAATGAGTCAGACAAGATTGTAGCCCTCTGAAGGGAAAGGGGTTATTGAACAGAAAACGGTGTTTCAGGAAGAGCGGAATTTGATTTTGTGACCTGCAGATACCACCTCTCACCTAGGTATACAATCTGGGCCCACAAATCCACTGGTGTCCCCACCTTGTTGAAAAATTGTGATGAAACTACATGCAATGAAAGGGTTACATATAGTTAGTCTGGCTGAAAAAAAAAGACAAAAGTCCATCTAGTTAAAAAAAAAAAGTTACAATCTCATATCCACAGTTGATCCAAAGGAAGGCAAAAAAATCCAGCAAAGCAGGATCCAATTTGCTCCTCCAGGGGAAAAAAAATCCTTCCTGATCCCCCAAGAGGCAATCAGATATTCCCTGGATTAACTTTACCTATAAATGTTAGTATCCAGTTATATTTGTGTGTATCTAGGAAAGAATCCAGGCCTTTTTAAAAGCAATCCACTGAGATGGCCAGAACCAATTCTTGAGGGAGTCTATTCCACATTTTCACAGTTCTTATTGTGAAGAAACCTTTCCGTATTTGGAGATTAAATCTCTTTTCATCCAGACATAAAGAGTGCCCCCTTGTCCTCTGTGATGACCTCAGGGTGAATAACTCTACACCTAGTTCACTATATGGACCACTGATGTATTTATACATGTTGATCAGATCCCCCCTTAATCTCCTCTTCTCAAGAGAGAATAAACTCAGTTCCTCTAATCTTTCCTCATAGCTGAGCTCCTCCATGCCTCTTATCAGTTTGGTTGCCCTTTTCTGCACTATATCCAGTTCCCCATGTTCTTTTTGTGAATTGGTGCCCAAACCTGAACTGCATATTCCAGATGAGGTCTTACTAGTGATTTGTACAGGGGTAAAATGAAAGCTCTCTCTGGAGTTGATACCTCCTAATACAAGAGAAGACTTTGCTCGCTTTAGAAACCGCAGCTTGGCATTGCATGCCATTATTAAGCTTGTGATCTACCAGAACTCTCAGATCCTTCACCACTGATTCCCCCAGTTGTATTCCCCCTAGCAGGGGCCGAATGACCATTAGGGTACTCGGGCACTGCCCGAGGTCAGTAGGGGGCCCCATGAGATGCCCCTGGTACCTTTCATAGGCTTTTTTGATGTAGTTTGAGTGTGGGCGAGGACACAGGGGCCCCATGATCCCCTATGGCCCGGGGGCCCCATGAGTTGTCAGTTTATCCCTGCCCCTTAGTATGTATGGTGCATGCATATTTTTAGCCCCCAAGTGCATAACCATACATTTATCAACACTAAACCTCATTTGCCATATAGTTGCCCAATTAAACAGTGCATTGAGGTCAGTTTGTAGGTTGGAGACATCCAGTAAGGACTTTATTCAAGTTGTCACTGGATTTGAAAGACTAGGCAGTCCAGGACTGTGGAACTCTGTCTGTGGTCTTTGTTTTAGACATGGTAAAGACCTTACGGGTTACAAATGAACAAAAGGTATGCCTGTGGTTCTGGGGAAGAAAGAGGAGTACTCTTTCCTCCTTTAGGATACTTGATAAGCCAGAGAAGTCTACAAAAAACAAAAAACAAAAAAAAAAAAAAACACCACAGCAAAACTAATACAGGCTGTCAAATGACTTGCATCCAGGCAAAGGCATCACAAAGGTCCTTTAATGCCTGTAAGATCTAATCAGTCAGATCTGCTACATGTTCCAGGGCAACAAGTTCCTGGCGTTGAAGTTCAGCCCAATCAGTAACTGCTTGGTAGAGCTTGTAGATACACATATGGGTCAAACATAGACCTAGCCACAGAAAAAATCAGTCTGGCCAGGGACTCCAGTAGCAAATAGAGTCCTTAACTGGAAGCCCAGTTAATCTCCCTAGCGGTAACCCCGAGCTACACTCAAGGCTTACCATGCGGCGCTGCATAGGGAGTCCCTGCAGCACTTACCTTGTCCTTCGCTCCCGCGATGTGTCCCCTGCAGCGTCCCGGCCATCTCCTCCGGCTGATGCTGGCATCAGGCTCCTGTGTTCCGGTCCCTGTGACGTCGGACGTACGGGCGCCGGCGGGAAATTTGAAAATTTAAAAAAAATGTCATTTTTTTTTTTTTCAAAACGATTTTACATAGTAAAACATTGCGGTTTCAACCCATTTCACATACATTTTGTCCCTAGTGCTCTGTCCTGTGCCCTGTCTGCATTTTGACTGTTCTTTCTGCCTAGAAACTTAGAAAAGTCCATGGCGTCCAAAAAGTGAGTGTCCCTTTTAGGTCAAAAGCGGTTTTAGACCGGCTAGAGAACAGCGATAGTAAATCAGAACCACTTGCAGAATTGAGTGATGATTCGTGGAGAAATTCGTCATCAGACACTGAAAACAATTTTGCGACTTTGCTCAGCGATGTGCGAACTTGGCGCTATATTTCAAATTTCAGTGTTTTTGGTTTGATTATATTATTGAATTAAATGTATTATTATTATATTATTATTTTTTATGATTATTTATTAAATTATAATTTATGATTTTGTGTTTCAAATTTTATCCTACCCGGGATGTTTAATAGACTCTTGTTCGGACAGATTTCAGTGAGTTATTCCTAAATTGTACAGCCTACAATAAAAAAACTATATATTTCCATGCAAAATAATGGTACCGTAACCCGCTTTCAGCACCAAAAATCTGAAATAATCATACCGCCAGGGAGGTTAAGAGTGTGAAACTTGCAGATCCATTAAAGATGGAGAGTCCATTTGTTTAGGGAATGGGCAGAGCGTGAAAATAGCTAAGGAATGAAGGAAAGCCTTAAAAAAAAGTGCTTGGGTCTGCAGGAACCCAATATGGGGGAAAGGTAAAGGGTCAGAACAAGGTCTCTGCACCTTGTCCCATGTGAGCATATCTGGTGGTCTGGTACAACACTGCCAGCAGCTGCTTGACAGAAGAATCTTCTACAAAGCTGTTGTAAACGCTATATTTTTTTTCCTAAAATAATAATGGTTTATACTTACCTGCTCTGTGCAATGGTTTTACACAAAGCAGCCCCAAACCTCCTCTTCTAGGATCCCCCAGCAGCTGTCCTGGCACCTCCTGTTCTGCGTGTGCCCCCATAGGAAGCTGCTTGCTATGGGGGCACTCATACAAGATGAAGTACATAGGTACATTGGGTTATGTTGCCCACCTGCAGGAGATTACATTGGCAAACAAAGATTTACGAAAAGCCTGGTATAACCCATCCCACTCTCAGCCTGCCATAGTTTTGTAGTGAGCCATAATAGGAGTGGATTACTAGAAAAGAAGGGAGGGACCCATGTCTCTTATTATACTCCACTAAAATGATTTCATTATAAGTAAAAATCCTATTTTCTTAATCTTACATTAACCTCCCTAGCGGTATGATTATTTCAGATTTTTGGTGCTGAAAGCGGTACCATTATTTTGCATGGAAATATGTAGTTTTTTTATTGTAGGCTGTAATTTTTAGGAATAACTCACTGAAATCTGTCCGAACAAGAGTCTATTAAACATCCCGGGTATGATAAAATTTGAAACACGAAATCATAAATTATAATTTAATAAATAATCATAAAAAAATAATAATATAATAATAATACATTTAATTCAATAATGTAATCAAACCAAAAACACTGAAATTTGAAATAGAGCGCCAAGTTCGCACATCGCTGAGCAAAGTCGCAAAATCATTTTCAGTGTCTGATGACGAATTTCCCCAAGAATCATTATCACTCAATTCTGCAAGTGGTTCTGATTTACTATCGCTGTTCTCTAGCTGGTCTAAAACCACTTTTGACCTAAAGGGACGCTTTTTGGACGTCATGGACTTTTCTCAGTTTTCCAGGCAGAAAGAACAGACAAAATGCAGGCAGGGCACAGGACAAAGCACTAGGGACAAAATGTATGTGAAATGGGTTGAAACAGCAATGTTTTACTGTGTAAAATTTGTTTGGAAAAAAATGACATTTTTTAAAAATTTTCAAATTTCCCGCTGCCGCCGGCGCCCGTACGTCCCAACGTCACAGGGACCGGAACACAGAAGCCGGATGTCGGCATCGGCCGGCCGGAAGAGATGGCCGGGAACGCTGCAGGAGACACATCGCGGGAGCGCAGGACAAGGTAAGCTCTGCAGGGAATCCCTATGCAGCGCCGCATGGTAAGCCCGAGTGTAGCTCGAGGTTACCGCTTTTGGTACTGACATTTTACCCCGAGCTACACTCGGGAATACCGCTAGGGAGGTTAAGAGGTGGGCAACAAAAAAATAACAATCTTGCAATATCCAACAGGTTAACAGAGGTGGCTCAACAAAGCCTCCTGCAGAACCTTGCAATCAAAGATGGCACAAGCTGAGGCCTGAACATTTACCTGAGGAAAACTTAAACATGTGAACACCAGGTGGCAGCCTTGCATATCTGAGAAACAGATGCCTGACGCTGAAAAGCCTATGAGGAAATAACTGATCTTGTGCAGTGCGATTAGATAGGCAAAGGTGAAACCTTGGCCTTAAGATCATTGGCTTGAATGAAGAGATGTCAAAACCATCTGGCAATACTGGGGTGTGAAGCAGACTGCCTTCTACAGAGACCTTCAGGAAAGATGACCAATGATATTCAGGAGCCATAGCTGAGAGACAGACGTGAACAGCACAATACCACATTCAGACAATGAAGAGAAATTTTCTTAGGATGTTTAAGACAGATAGAAGAACAATGTTTTGGTTAAAGTAAATGGAAGAAATCACCTTGGTCAGAAAAGAGGCCTTGCTTCTTCATGAAACACAAAAAAGGTTAAGACTGCCAAGTCCAAGACTCGTCAAATCAACGGAATGCAACCAGAAAGGCAACCTTGTGAAGGGTAGAAAAAGGAATATTCCTAACAGATGCAAAGGGTGGTTTCTGAAGAACTGACCGAATCAGGTTGAGATCCCACAAAATCACTGAGAATATATGGGAGGGATGTTAGCAACAACCTGTAGAAAGGCCATTACTAAGAAGTGAGAGGCAAGCAGTTTTTGATTGAAAAGCTTAAAAATCCTTTACAGGTTACCACTTTAGATTTGCAGAGGAGTGCTAGTGCTAGAACTACTGCCCATGATCTTACAATCGCAGTGATACCTCACATGTGTGGGACGATCACCATTTGTGTGTGTGTGGGACCAACATGTGCGTTCATCTTTGCAAGCACTGGGGGGGGGCGTCTTTGATTTTTTTTTTTTTTTTTTTTTACACTGTCACTAATTTTTTTTTTTCTCATCACTTTTATTGCTGTCACAAGGAATGCAAACATCCCTTGTGACAGCAATAAACACATGACAGGTATTTTTTATGGAGGGACCTGGGGTCTATGAGACCCCAAATCCTTCCTCTGCACTTGAAAGCACTCAAGATTGATGTTTTTAAATGCTTTCAGATTTGCAAAAATGGAGGCAAAAGTTTCAGAGTAAAATGGAAGTGATGGCAGGTCATTGCTTCCGGTTTGCAATAAAGGAGGGCCATTCAAGTGCTGGCTGATCGCTCAAGACTACCGGTGGGAGTGGAGATCCCAAGGTAGGTGTGTAGGTGTGTGTGTAGGGGGGGACGTCCCCTCCGGCTGCTTGTACAAGAGACTGCCGACTCTAAAAAACAGTTCCGGGGTGATACCTGAGGCTGCAGGCATCTTTCTGGTACAACCATGGAAAGTCCAGCGACATACTGGTCAGGAAGTGGTTAAAGGACAACTAGAGGCAAAACTTTTTTTTTTTTTTTTTTTTTTGGATAGAGTGGGGAGGGATTAGAATGCCTTTCAGTTTTTACTGTTTTCTTTAGCCTGTTAGGGAGATTCTACCTTTATTTGTCCTGTTTACCATTATCGTGGAAAGTAAAAGCAACCCCAAATTTTGGGTTGTCCCCAGAAAAGTAACAGAGGAGAAATCTTCCAATGCGGACACTAGTTCTGGTGACCTGGGGGTCCCCAAGGAATTCCCTTAATTTGCAGGGATTTTGCCTATAGTTCTACTTTAGGGTATAATTAGAAAAATACTTTTCTTGGAACTCATTGAGAGATATAGGAATTCTTATTTTCTGCCACCTGCAGAAGAATTTGACACAAAGAAACAAATAAGCTACTGGGCAGCAAAGGATGCCCCACCCAAAACCATCATGACTCCACTTGTATCAAAATACAGTAATATTGAGAGCAAGAAAAAAAAGGGGTCTGTATCTCACAAAAAGCTCCAAGAAAAAGATTTAACATTAAGTGCAAAACCCTCTCTCTCTTTCTCATCCACTGAGGGACAAGGGAATTTTGTCAGGGTGTCCAAAAGAAGTCCAGAGGGGAGGAAACATAGTAAAAAAAGGCTAGTAAGTCTAAGGTAAACGGCACAGAAAACGGGACTGCCAGAAGCTAAAATAGCCATCTGAAAGATTTAATGCCTTAAGCTGACATCGGAAGAAGCCTTACTAGCCACCTGGAAAGACTTAGAAGATAAAAAGAGCAGACAAGGAAGTACAAAAAGAGCAAGAAGCAGTTACAGATATGTCTAGAGCAGGGATGGCGAACAAGTTAGACAGAAAGAGCCAAAATTTTAAACTGTGAAAGTCAGAGAGCCACACCACACAGTGACCTGCCAAAACAGACAAAACACTCACACAAAAACACATAATTAAAACCGTATTATTCACCATAACACTTTCTTCCCCTTACAAAACAACAAAGTGTTCATTTCAAGGTAAGTGTCCACCCTCAACACACACATCAAATGCAACTTAGCCAGAGTTAACACATCAACTACCCTGGAGGTTGCTGTGGCACCTGTCTCTCTCTCTCCCTTCTCTCTCTCACTCTAACACACAATTATACAAAAAAAAATTCTGAACTAATGGACTGCAGACACAGTACAGGAGATGACCAGAGACTGCGGACAGCACAGGGATGACCAGAGACTGCAGACAGCACAGGGATGACCAGAGACTGCAGACAGCACAGGGATGACCAGAGACTGCAGACAGCACAGGGATGACCAGAGACTGCGGACAGCACAGGGATGACCAGAGACTGCGGACAGCACAGGGATGACCAGAGACTGCGGACAGCACAGGGATGACCAGAGACTGCGGACAGCACAGGGATGACCAGAGACTGCGGACAGCACAGGGATGACCAGAGACTGCGGACAGCACAGGGATGACCAGAGACTGCGGACAGCACAGGGATGACCAGAGACTGCGGACAG